CCTGTGAAAACTTGAAAGCTTTATGTGGAAAACAGAATTTAATTTTTTTAAAAGGAGAGACACATGTCCAGGAAGTTTGAATAAATAAAGAGTATGCCAGCTGATCTTACAAGGTTAACTTTGCTGGTGAATTACTCAAAAAGCATGCAAATATTTTCAGCATACAAGTGAAAGATGCCCATTAGTACCAAATCAGAAAATGCATAAGATAAAATTTCTTAAGTAAATACTAGCTAAAGTATCAGAAGTGTTACGTTAATGTATTGATTAAATAGAGGGGTTCTTTGTAACCATTTGTGATTGTTAACTTTTTTATATTGCAACATTTTATTATATTATTGCAGAATTTGAAGTTTTTCCTAGGTAAAAAAGCTTACCTGGCATGTTGTCAATAGTTTGACATGCTGCTTGCTCTTATGATAAAACGCAGAGGTTGTACTGTGCAACATTACTCATGTTGAGCGATAACTTTACATTTATTTCACTGGGCTATGTTCGTTGTAGTGCCAAGGAATACTTGATTTTCATGTAGAGGCACTGACACTTAAGGGTTAATTAACTCTGATTCTAACTTCTGGCTAGCATTCCGTGGGAAAAACAGGTGCTTGGGTGTCTTGTCTTTTTAAAGATCATCTGGATACCCTAAACCCCAGTCCTGTTGGTGTAGTATTAATACACAACTTGCATATTTTAATTTAGGGTGGGGGGTTTTTTTTGCTACTGTAAAGTATGTTGTGCTTTAACTTGTGTGTAGTTGTCGAACACTGCTTACTTAATGTTACAAAATGGAGCCTGGAAATGACAGATGATTAAGAAAAAACAAACAGTTGTGTGTGTACTATTTTTATGTTCTGCAAATTGCAAATGTTAGATATATTTGCAAGAATGTGTGTTTTATTTTCAACTCATAATGAGTCTAGCTTGTGATAGTAATTCCTTTTCTGAAGGTCTGATACCCAAAGTGCTTAAGGTAAAAACTGGATAATTGAAAGTATTTTCAGGATTATGCTGCACCTGTAAATACAGAGAATGTCTTTTGTTGCCATTGTTGATACAGATTTTCAGAAGTGCTTTATAAGGTTATGTTACGAATGTTAGATGAAGTTGCTATGGATTTTATTCCTAGTCTTCTTTCTTTGGTGTGTACTTCCCCTGCCCCTAAATTCATCTGTAACACCATTTTTCTTGTAAGTAGGAGAGGCTATACTTGTAATGTAGTTGAAAGAAATTGTAATTTATTTAGGAAGTTTAGGTGTGTTTTTGTATTTGTTTTTGGACAAGCATAATTCTGAGCAAAAACACTACTTTGATTTGGTAAAATTTAATTGGAAACTACTGTTTATCATTTGGTTGTATTTCCAAAATGTATTTCTGTATTTCTTTATACTGTGTCATGGATTACTTTGATTATTTTATTTTTTTTTAGTCCATGAAAGTGACAGAGAACCGGTTGCATTTGTTTGGAATTAAAAATGTTCACATGTATACTGATGTATTCAGTATTCTGCCTTTTTGTTTTGAATAATAAAATGCTTATCATCTGCGTGTAACTTGCTTTGCCGAAGTCATTCTGAATATTTTGAAGCTTTCTGTGACCTTTTTGGTTGGTGAATGCATTGGAAGAAATCTGAAGGTACCTCAGTATGTTCTTTGTGGGCCGGTGCCAAGGAACAATCCTTGCCCTCTAGGCCAGCAGCTGTGGAGCGGATCTGCTTGCACTGAATGGAGGTTCTCTTTTGAATGCTGCACAAATGGCACAGGCATTCTGCCTGCTCGTTTGTACTTTCTAGATGGGATGCGTGCCACGCTCAACCTTCATCGGCTTTGTGCTGGTCAGAGGTACTCTCACTGGCACGCTCTGTAAAGGCAGCCAGACCTTATATGCCAAATAGGCACACTGTTACAACACCGTTACTTGAAACGTTTTTAGATATGTATGCAGTTACTTTGAGAAACATTTTCCGTTATTTACTTTTAAAGACATGCATTGCTGAACGTTTAAACTGTATTGAAAAGATTATTTAGATGTTTTTCTAATGTTCTGGCATTTTACGATGTTCCATAAAGCTTACCTGGTACTGGAGCGGAGGGAGGACATGTGTGGGTAACTTCCTCTATTTTGTTTTCCCAAGGGAGCTTTAAGATGGTAGAACTGTACAACAAGATGCCCAAGTTTTAGCAACTTACCGTGCAGCGTTAGTACCTCTTGCTGATTTTGCTGATCCTTTCTGGCTGATTTAGGAGTAACCCTATACTACCTCTAGAAGGAAATGTGTTCAGACCTCAGCCAGCAGAAATAGTGGGTCTGAGAGAAGGAGATCTGAGATCATTAAGGGTTCATGTAGGAAGAGAGGCAGAGAATGAAGAGGTTTCGCTGGAGATATGGGATGGGTGGTTCAGGAGTTTTGAAATGGCTCTTTAGTTATGAATGTATGGGCCAGGAAGCATAGAAGTTTTGGCTTTCAGGCAGAATTTTAGGTTTCAGTGCTAACCTAGTGTGTGAAGATTTTTAAAGTTTGCAATAAAAAGACGGGGAAAGTAAAATATGAGCATAGAGCATGAAGGAGAGCTCTTAGAAACTAACAAATGATCATCTATTCCATAAAAGCAAACTTAGGGATGCAAAAGACCCTCTGATGTTGCTTTTGAATTACCTTTAATGTCTGCAGAGGATTGTATATGTATGCGTGTGTGTGCTTTGTTAGCTGCAGACCAAAGCCTGGAGGTAAGCTTCACCACTGTCCAGTGGGAATGGTGCTTGAACAAGGCATAATAACCTTTTTTTTTTTTTCCCCTGAATCTGCCTTTTTGCTGCCCCTGTGCTGCCTTGTCTTTGCCCACACTCCTCCCAAATAAACAACCCATCCCAAATGACTTTTTCGTCATTGGTCCTACATCCCTACCTAGATTTGGTATTTCTGACAGTGTTACCTAAGCAGTCTGGGCCCTATATGGTGTTACTGTACAGTCACCTAGATGTCAGCAGCCTTGTACCCCAAGACTGCCTTCTGATTATTTGGTTTGTGCTGCTTACATTTCATTTACTTTATATGCTTCCTAAAGAAAATTGTCTGACTTGGTCTTTACTCTTCTATCTAATTAAACACAAGCAGTTTTTTTATGTGCAGTTTCCAATACCAGAGCAACAGAATAATCTGGTTTGTGCTCACATGGTATCTTCACCCCTGAATAGTTTTCATCACCCTCCCAGTTCCCATCAAAGGCCTTAGCTAATTAAGAGGCTTAGTGCTCTGGCAGGACCATTTGCTCATACCTGGTGATCCAGGTGGCATTCTTAGCCCTGATGGTGGAGAGAAGAGGCTGGGGGAGGAGCACATTGGTCCTGTGGATTAATACCTGGTTCTGCAGCTGATGTTGTCGACAGGAATTTTGTTTTTATGACAGCAGGACCCTCTGAGAATGGAGGACTGCTAGGCAGAGACGGGATCCACTTGACAAAGTGAGGAAAGAGCATCTATGCCAAGAAGCCAGCTGATGTGGTGAGGAAAGCTTTAAACCAGGAGCAATGAGGGTAGGGAGTGTGACTCGCAGTTAAGTGAAGAAATGGTGGATGAGGTGTAAAGAAAAGGGTGCAGTGTGATGGGAACAAGAGAGACCTCAGGAATACTAAAACAGTAGAAGGGAGGCTACGTCAAATATGTGTATACAAATGCATGCAGCCTAGGATATAAGCAGGAGGAACTAGAGCTGGAGTTCAGATTTGCAAGGGATGTCAAAAGCTACAAGAAGAGAACTCGACCCATACAAGTCCATGGGACCTGACAAGCTAAATCCAAAGGTGCTGAAA